ATACATACATACATACACACACACACACATCTATGATTATGACCTATTTGGGTCATGCGATTAACCTTCTGGCTAATTCAGTTTCAGGTTGAACCTATATTTCCACAGTCTCTCACCTTGCTGTGAGTTGAGTCTTGGGTGGCAGAAAACACACCGTAGGTCTCTAAGGATGGTACACTGTGCGGTGGCTGTGTCAGGACCAGTAACTGCTCCAGCTCCTCAGTCTGTTCCTGCTTATGGTGTCCCAGCAGCTGGTAGGGCTGCACAGTGCTCACCAAACTTTGACAGACCTCCTGTAACGTAGAGTCATTTAACACTGCGCTGTCTGTGCCACTGACGCTGTAATGTTGGTGTCCAGCAGCCACGCTTGGGGGAAAAGCTGAGAGTCCATTTGGGATGCAAGACCCGTTTAAAGTCGGTCCAAGCGGATTATTCTGGAAGCCAGACAACAGAGTGCTCTCACTGCTTACCTGCAGGTACTGGAGGGGGGCAGAGAGCTGTTCCTGTTGCAGCTGCCACTGTGGAGCGTTCGCATGTTTGCTGTCCAGCTCCGTGGCTTTGTTATGGTTGGTGTGATGACGGTTGTGGTGATTCCCCGTCCGTACCACCCAGTGACTGTCAGGTCCCCCCGTCACTGGTCCAGCAGTCAAGCACGCCTGCTGGGAGACACTTTGGGCAGAATCTGAGTTTGACTGGTGGTTTGAGGACCCAAATCTGCCTGTGTTCACCTGTTCCTGCCTCTCGCTCGCACCCTCCAGAGAGTCGTGAATGTAGGAGAGGATTTCGTTGTTGGTGAGAAGGTCACTGAGAGTTGGGATGTGATCTGGGTCCAGTTCCACATGCATCATCCTCTCGTCCAGCAGCAGCCGCTCCAGGTCCTCGGCATTTAGGCCCAGATTCTCCAGGGCGCTGAACAGTTCGCTGTTGGAGCACGTTTCCTCTCCGTCGAGAGACAGAGAGTCCAATGTGGTCAGAAGGGGGTCAAAACTGGAGGTTTTGCCGTTGCGATCCCCTGGCGACTCCTCGCTAGAGACGACATACCAGCTGTCACCACTGAACAAAGCACCCAGACCATCAGCCCTGCTCTGCTGCTCACTGAAAAGGGTGCTGTGGTAGGACACTTTAGGCTCCGTATCTGGCTGGCATACGTATATGGACTCATCCTGACTCATCAGCGCCCCCAGTAGGGACTTTGGGTCCAGCTCATCTGAAGAAGCCTCCTCTCCTTTGCTTTTCTTGGACTTGCTGCCTCTGGCTTTGCCCTGGAGCGGGTCGGAGAAGCCGTGCAGCGGATATCCAGTTTGGTAGAGCAAAGCCTCACCGGTGGCAAAGGTGAAGGGGAGATGCATAGATCTCTTCCTCAGGTGTTCCCCTCCTTCTTCGTCCCTGTGAATGAATCCATTAGAGAGGAGAAATTAAATAAAGAAGAAGAAGAAAAAAAAAAATCACACTGGAATCAAGAAACACTCACGCCAAAGGCCTCTGAGTGGCGATGATGTAGTCCGGCTTGCCGTTCTTGTAAATGAGCCGGGCGTTGGCCTGGACCCACTTCCACCTGTTGTCCTTGGTGAGCAGCCTAAAGACGGTGAGGCCGCTCTCACCTGTCTTTATCACTGGAAAGACAGAGGACACGTTAGAGCCTCTGCTGTGTGCACACACTCACTCACTAAGGCTACGTTCACACTGCAGGTCTTAATGCTCAATTCCGATTTTTTGATCAAATCCGATTTTTTTGTCTGCTCGTTCACACTACAAATAAAATG